CCCAGACAAGGAAAAGTTAAAGGAGTTCATCACCATCAAACCGTTATTATATGAAATGTCGAAGGATCTTCTTGAAGAAAAAGATAAAATATATGAACAAACAAAATGGCAATGAATACATATCTATCGACAATGGAATCTACAAACAAAATGAACAGGCAGAACGGAAACATTCTCCTAGATACAGAGAACATTTTGTTGGTTGCCAGATGGGAGGGGGGTTGGGGGAATGGGTGAAAAAGGTGAAGGGATTAAGAAGTACAAATTCATTGCTAGACTGACAAACCTCAAAGGGAAAGGGGTTGGGGGGTGGGAAGAAATAAACCAAAGAACTTATAAGCATCACCAATGGACACAGACAATAGTGTGGGAAAAGGCAGGAAGGGGGCGGGAGTGGAGAGGAGGAGGTCAATGGGGGGAAAATGAGGAAAATCTGTAATACATTCAACAATAAAGATTTTTTAAAAAATTCAATAAATCTAGGAGCTTTTTCCACAGCAACATAAGTTTATATTAAGTGAACCATAATAACAACATAAATTTTGAGAGACAAGCAAGGAACGCCCATTACGAGATAGACAGGACACATAAAGTACATGACTGGACAGACATGTATGCTTCTCATCTGCTGCTCGTGGCCCTTCTGGCTGTATTGCAGTAACTCGGGACAGTTAGTGCCAAGCAGGCTGGGAGTACATGTTGCAAAAGTGTTAACACTTTCCGGTGATGATGAGAGGAGATGCAATGATTCCTCACTATGTTGATGACCTTGCCTCCAGTGATTGACCATGTTGTTGACTTCTTTGTCAACACAGACAATAACACCAAACCTTTATCCACATGTCCTCACAAAAACTAAATCTCAGATGAAGATTAAGGAAATTGCAGTACACAGGAAAGACCTCAAGAGTCAATGATACAAATGCTGGACATGTTCCAAATCCAAGATGCAGGATTAGAACAGCAATCAAAGCAACATAATCATGTCGCTGGCGACACACACAGGATAGTTATTAAAACTTAAGTGGTGTGCCTGGCTGGTGTGGCTCAGTGGTTGAGCATTGACTCACAAACCAAGAGGTCACCAGTTCGATTCCCGGTCAGGGCACATGCCCAGGTTGTGGGCCTGATCCCCAGTGGGGGGCATGTAGGAGGCAGCCAGTCTATGTTCTCTCTCATTGATGTTTCTATCTCTCTTTCCCTTTCCCTTCCTCTCTCTCTAAAATCAAAGAAAAAAAAATTTTTTTTAATTTAGTGTGACAAATGGCGACTACAAAGAAAAAGTGATGCAGAGTGTTGATCTTTCCATGAGAAATGGACAAATCATTGTTTTTATTGAAGTCAAAGGAAAACCTGTGTGCCTTGTTTGTGGCAATGTATTAGCAGTAATGAAAAAAAGCCAATCTAGAGCATTATTACAGCTCAAAACATGTTAAATTCAATGAATTTGGAGGCCAAATGTGTCTGAATAAAATCAATGCTCTTCAGCAGAGTTTAGAATCACAAGCCACTTTCACTAGGCCTCGTTGTGACAGAGGCAACGTTATTCAGACAAGTTATGTAGTGAGCAAGCTAACTGTAAAGAAGCTAAGTCCTGCCCTGGCCAGTTTTGCTCAGCGGTTAGAGCGTCAGCCTGCGGTCCAGAGAGAACCGGGTTTGGTTCCCACTAAGGGCACGTACCTTGGTTGCAGTTTGTCCCCGGTTGGGTTGTACGGGTGGCAACCACTCGATGTGTCCCTTTCACGTCGATGTTTCTCTCTCCCTTCCTCTCTCTCCCTCCCACTCTATCTGAACAAAAAACAAAAAAATGTCCTTGGATGAGGATAAAAAAAAAATTTTTTTTTAAAGATGCTAAGTCCTCATGTAGAGGGAGAATTTGTGAAAGAGGGCATGGTGGCTGCTGCAGAGTTGTTAGCACCAAAATAAAATTGTTTCAGAATGTTAGTTTGTCTAAGAGAACCATCTCAGATTGGATTACTGATTTAGCACAAGATACACAAAAAACACTGAAGGATTTTGCAGATTTCCAATTTTTCTCTCTGGTGTGTGATGAGACAACAACATAACAAAGAAAAATCTTGAGCTAACATTTGAAAAGTGAAGTGGCCTTACCACAGATGGAGCTCCAGCCATGGTTGGCTCCCAAAAAGGATTAATTGCATTTGTTAAGAAAGAATTGAATCATCTCAGTCTTGATCCAAGTGATTTAATTATATGCCACTGCACCATACACCAAGAAAGTCTCTGTGCACAGTCATTGCGACTCAACAATGTGATATCAACAGTAGTGGCATGCATAAATTTTGTCAAAGGCAGAGGGTTTAACAGCCGCTGTTTAAGGAGTTACTGAATGATCTTGACTCTGAGTACGGTGACTTGTTTATCACTGTGAAGTGTGGTGGCTGAGTCTTGGAACATGCTCATGAGGTTTTACGAACTGCAGGATGAAGGGAAAACCTGTCAGAGAGCTCAGTGATAGCAAGTGGCTGTGTGACTTAGCGTTCATGGTGGACATTACCAAGTACCTCTCAGAGCTGAATGTCAAGCTTCAGTTTCTCAGCTCCCGCTTTCAAATATGAAATCATTTAAAGCTGTGGAAAGTGCAACTCAAAAGGAAAAACATGGTACATTTCCCCACTCTGGAAGGACAAAAGCCTTCTACAACACTTGAATATGCTGGTGAATGTGCAAAACTAATTGAGGCATTTAACGAAAGATTCAAGGATGTGAAAGGTAAACAAATGGAATTGAACATCTTTGCTACAACCTTCAGTGTGGAACCAGCTGATATGCCTGATAACCTACAACAGGGAATCATTCAGCTTCAAAGCAATGTGAGCTGAAGGCTGGGTACAACAACCTCCCACTGCTTGACGTCTATAAACGTTACCTAAACAATGATGAATTCCCCACTTTGGGGAGACATGCGCTGAAATATGCATCTGTGTTCGGAACAACTTACTGCTGCAAGCAGTTCTTTTCAAAACTTACCATTGCACAGAGTTGATTGCGTTCCAGACCTGGAAAAGCATTTGTAAGTAGCAACATCATCACCACCAGCTAACATCACATGACTCAACAAAGAAAAGCAGTTCCAGCCATCATGTTAGGGCTGGATTAAATTAAATGTTTGACCAAATATAGAAGACTAATTTGTAAGTTGATAATTTTGTATGGCCTATGAATGATGTTATAAATATCCAAATGGCCCTTGGCAGAAAAAAGGTTCCCCACCTCTGGCTTAGGCCATGACATGGGGGTGAGGCAGGATATCATCATACATAGGCTTAGGTCTAAAGCTGGGTCCCACCACTGGAAGCTGCATGACCAAGAGCAAGTTATTTGGGGCTTCATTGAGGATACTAAATAGTATTGCAATCTCATAGGGCTATTGTACAGATAAATGACACTACATGTAAAACACTTAAAACAGCACCTGGCACACACACAGCAATACTGAAGTATTATTATAAGAGATGGGGTTACTGGAGTTTTTTCCCCCTATATTTTAAGTATAGAAACATACATATGAAAATTCAAATCCCAGCTTCATCAACTTACTATGTGTGTAATCTGGGCCAGTTGTTGAACCTTCTGTGCCTCAGTTTGCTCACTGGTAAAGTGGAAATAATAATGGTACTGTTCTGAGCCACAGTCCCCTCCTGCTGGTGACTTACCCCAGCCATAGCAGTCCACAATACGACACAAAGTTTTAAATTCCTATCCAAAAGAATGCTGAGATTCAGCTAAGTTTCTATTTCCATAGAATTTAGGGTGCCTGATGAAATGAACTACTCTCTAAAACACTAGAAACAACAAGTATAAAGTAATTTGCCATCATGTGATCAGCTGTCATATCTAAATTTAAGGGATCTTTTAGAAACAGCTTGTTTAGAAACAACTTTTTTCAAAAAGTTTGTATAAATTACATGTGTTCTACAAGTGTCCTAAAACTAAACTAGAATCAACTTGTGGGCAAGAACAGTGTTTTATATTTCTTTTGGCTCTCACCAAACCTAGCATAGTGCTAACTAGCATTTTAAGGGTCAATTAATGCATGCTGGTTAGATAACTATGACTAAAATGAAGTTATGCTTTAACAGAGAACTGATAACTAAAGAAGCTTCAGTTATGTTAATAACATTTACTTTCTCCGAATATCTGCCTTACCCATAAAAAACTTAAACCACTTCAAATTCTTTTTTTTTGTGGTACGTGCCCCTAGCGGGAACCAAACCCAGGACTCTCTGGTCTGCAGGCCGACACTCAACCGCTGAGCCAAACTGGCCAGGGCAACCACTTCAAATTCTTTTAATGAAATTAGAGGTTACAAACAACAGGATATTTGACTCTTTTATTTTCCCATCAGTTGCTATTTATAAGATCACACTTATCAATTCTAGTTCATTCTTCCCATAACACTTTCCTGCTTAAAGTCTGAAACTGCAAATGAACAGAAAACTAGCATTCTTAGACATATAAGGAATCAAGAGTTTTCTAAAACTAACCTGAAGTCCTATTTCTGCCTTTTATATAGTAAGCAGATTGTCATTCTACTCATTATTCCACCAAAATATATCTTCACACTTCAACCTGGATTACTCCCTTAAAATACTGGACTATGTTCAAGTAGTAAAAACAAGAATGGTGAATTCTATTGAATAATTTTGCATTTGCTTATTGCAATACCAGTTAAAACACCAGTTTATGCCCAGGCCGGTTTGGGTCAGCGGTTAGAGCGTCAGCCTGTGGTCCAGAGAGACCCAGGTTCGGTTCCCGCTAAGGGCACGTATCTCGGTTGCAGTTTGTCCCCGGTCCTGGTTGGGTTGTGCAGAAGGCAGCCGCTTGATGTGTCCCTTTCACGTCGATGTTTTTCTCTCTCTCTCTCTTTCTCTCTCTTCCTCTTTCCCTCCCACTCTATCTGAACAAAAAATGGAAAAATGTCCTTGGGTGAAGATAAAAAAAACAAACACCAGTTTATAAATTTTTTTTACATACATATTCAACAGTTCAACAAACACATGATTCTTTAAGATGTAAGTCAACTCTTCACTGGAGAAAATACATGAAACCACAGCATTAATTTCTGAAATGAAGGATTGAGATTCCTCTTTCCAACTTCCTTCAGTCCATCTTACTCTGCATGTTCCTGCTCCTGTCCTGGAATTAGCCACCGAATGCTCTCAGTTCGAATGGTAGCATACATAATAAAACTAATTAAAAAGAATAAGGAAAATACAAGCAACCAGTCCACACTTTTTATCAAAGCGCTGGGAAGAGGGCCTATTTGGTCGGCTTGAGTTACCACCACATTTTTCTTGGATTCTATACCTGCAAGAGAAATCCGGTGTTTCAAATCAGGTAGAAAACACACCCACTACAGATCTTTCTGAAGTATTTTGCATGGTATGCAAAATGACATGCAGTCTTAAACACCAATGCTAATATATCTGGGATGGGTTTCACTTGCCTGTCAGTGTAATTTGTGACTTGCCTTTCTCCCTACCACATCAAAGGAACAGGATTCTATGCAGCTGTTCCAGGCTAAAACATCAGAATTTCTGTAAGCTCATCAGGGCATTTTAAGAGTTGTCTTTTGTTCTCTTTTGAGACCAAAGTTCAAGTACTAACTAGTAAAGCTACTCTCAGGAGTCTACAGAAGGTTTTTATAGGTTAAGTTATGCTAAATCCAAAATGCTTTTAAATAAAGTTACTAAAAAAATTGTTAGCACAGCCCTGGCCAGCGTGTTAGAGTGTTGGCCCGCGAATCAACGAGTCCTGAATTCAATTCCGATCAAGGGCTTGTACCTTGGTTGCAGTTAGTCCTGGCCCCGGTTGGGGTCATGCGGGAGGCAACCAGTCAATGTGTCCCTCTCACATGGATGTTTCTCTCTCTCTCCCTTCCTCCCACTCTGTCTGAAGATAAATAGAAAAATATCCTCGAGTGAGGATTTAAAAAAAAAAGAATTGTTAGCACAAATAACAATTGGGATCTGTGATTACTGATTTCATTTGTATCCTAGGTTTTCTTAGAGCATTGAACAAAATAGCTGCCTCTCTCCATATCAGTCTGAATAACAAGACTTGAAATAGCTAACCACCTGGAAACACACCTTCTCCTATGAGGTCACCAGACTCTTTGTTATTTAGTGTTAGATATAAGGATTTACATGCAACTTAATATATATGGAAGGAATAGACTTTTCCAAAGAAGGAAATTTCAATATGCAAAGCCATCTGGTTTGGCAAATATTAAGGAATTAAAATAGCACCTGCAGCCCTAGCATATAACAGTTCATTAGAAGAAGTTCTACATCTCAATGCAATCCTGAATCCTTCACCTAAGGATGATAGCAGATCAGAATGCACAAAAGGCACATAATCCAGCAATAAAATGTCTTCTTCTGCAGCATATTATTTCTACATACCTGTCTGGTTAAAAATGAAAATTTTCAGTGTTTCCAATGTTCGGTCTGTATGATTAAATCGAGCCATTGGTTTAGCTCCTTGAAATAACAAGATGTTAGGAACAGCTACAGTGCCGAACCTGGTAGAAAGGCTACAAGAAAAAGTTAGAAAACCTGAGTTAAGAGTGGGCTTTCTCACACAATTACCATATGAGAATGCATCCAATAAATGAAACATGATCAGTGTTGTGTGAGGTTTCTGATATTCAAACTCTAGACTAGTTTCTGACTTCCTTCTGTATGGGTCACAGTTGGGGGCATTTCTGTTCTGCTAAGATGCTTTCTATTACAATACGGAACTACACATAACACGGTTATTACACTATGTAAGTTCCTAACTGCCAGATCAAAAAATTCTAACTCATGTACAAAGCACATGTCAATTTACCTGACAGAAGACATTTCAAACTCTCCAGAATGTCCACCTCCATACCTCATAAAAGATTCAACTCTTGGTAAATCTATGATCTAACAAACACACCAGGAAGTTTACAATTAGGGCAGGATGACTGAGAATACGACCTAAGCGATGTTTCACCTTTACATAATATGGAGCAGCGGTATGAGCTCCAAGTCAAAACACTGGGTTCAAGCCTCAGTTCTGCCACTGAACCAAGTAATCTGTGTAATCTGCAGATTACTAAACCTCTTTAAGCCTCAATTTCTCCCATTGGATAATCAGGATTTTTTTTATAAGCATGATGTAATTTAAATATTAACACATTGTTGACCAGCAATTTTACGCAGAAGTTATCTCATGTCACCAGCTATTTTTTCGTAATTGTGTATGAAAGTGAAACACTCTAAATAAATTTCAGTATACTTTATTTATATATAATGAATTTAAATGAAACTTTGTACATAACTGCTACGTATTATATTTTACACATATTATACATTTTAGTAATTTTTTTGGTGTGGTATACTATATAGCAATCACCTTTTGAAACACACACTTTACACATTCTAGTTGGATTTTTTTATACCAGTAAGTATTCTTTCTAAAACGTGGTCTTTTAGTTGCCCTGAAAGCCTAAAAGGTGAATGAACGTAAGGAGCTCTTTTAGAAGGACCAGAAGTGTTAGGCTCTGAGCTGCACTCATTTGAACCAGCAGATATCCATTCCCCAGCTACTTCAAGAATATAGAACGGTGTGCTGTTTTTCAAACTTCAACCCTCAGGGCAAAGAATCACAAAGACAATAATCTTGTATTACCCTGAGTTTCAAAAATTGAAATAGCTAATGCAAGTGCAGACACGAGTTACCTCGTAAGCGGTCAGCAACGTTTGGGCATGAAAACACGAGTTAACTCGTGAGCAGTCAACAATGTGTTAACATATGAGCCCAGCTGGTATGGCTCAGTGGTTTAGTGTCAACCCATGCACTAAGAGGTCGCCGGTTCATTCCCAGTCAGGACACATGCCCAGGTTGTGGGCCTGATCCCCAGTGGGGGGCATGCAGGAAGCGGCCAATCAATGTTCTCTCTCATCGATGTCTTTCTCTCTCTCCCTTTCTCTCTAAAATCAATAAAGAAAAATTATTTTTTTAAAAAATATATATTAACATGAGACAAACTCCTATCCTAGGCCAGCCATATGATAAGAACAAGTATCCTTTATTCTCCATAATTAAGGCACCATGCATGGAGATAAAGGAACAAAGCAGAAGATAAAAGCATGCAAGGAAAATGGGGATAGGGTGGGGAGGATCATAGTACCAGACACAAGACTAAAGAGTACTGAGCAAGTGCTCGAGCCAGCCCTGCTGGCCTGGAGGCAGTGGAGGGCTCAGTCAAAGCTGGACATTGAGCTGGACTGTCCTTCCCATCAATCTTAGGCCAGGCCACTTAGATACTTCCCTGAAGCCCCTGTGAGAATTACTAATTTGTTGGGCAATTTCTTTCTCCGTAAACAGTTTCAGGTAAACACTGGCAGTTACCTTACCCACACCAAAAATCACTGGAGCACAAATTAATCAAGTTTTACTCAACTTCATTTTTACCAACTTGACCATTGTCCAACCTTTCCAAATACATTCACACACAACACTTTTTTGTTGTTGTTGTTAATCTTCACCCAAGGATATTTTTCCATTGGTATTTTTAGAGAGAGGGGAAGGGGGGAGGGAGGGAGGGAGGGAGAGAATTAGAGCATCAGCCCATGGACCAAAGAGTCTCGGGTTCGATTCCCAGTCAAGGATATGTACCTGGGTAGCCGGTTCAATCCTGGGCCCCAGTCAGGGTCGTGCAGGAGGCAACCAATCAATGTGTCTCTCTCACCTCCCTCCTTCTCTCCCTCCCTCCCACTCTCTGAAAATCAATGGAAAAATATCTTCAGGTGAGTACTAACAACAAAAATAAATAAATGTAAGAAAGAGGGAAAGGAAGGAAAGAAAAAGAACAAAAGAAAGAAATCCTAAAATCCTAAGTAGACAGAACGGGGGGTGCTGAGTTATGCTGTCAGGGGTGGGGACCTAAACTGCAGATGAAAGTCACATTGGAAAATCCTACTTGTGATCCAATTCTGTTAATTGATCCTGGCCAGGATCCTAGAAAGTCCTTCAGCCCCTCCCTTGCCACCAGGCAGAGCCACCTTTGAATTCCACCACACAGAGAACTGTCCTCTTTCCTTAAAAGGGGCCTCTAGGAAGTGAGCCATCAGCTTCCTCAGTCAGTCCACATTCCTCACTCCTCACTCACATCTGCCTTTCCCTTCCTTCAATCCCTCTGCAAAGCTCACATCTACCTCCTTTGCTTTTCACTTAACTAATTACCACCTCCCTCCAAACAACTGCCACCGTTATCCCAATGAATGATATGGGAAACCCAGAAACCCAACAAAGGGAAAATACCTGCTATGCTGAGATGCATCCAGTGCCAAAAAATGAAGACCTGGAAATGCCCGGGGCAGAGAATTAAAATGAGGGGCCAAATTGGCAGAAAATTGGCACCAAGGGGTGTAAAACAGGACGAGCGTGCAATCACTACCGTTGGGGTTTAGAAAATCCATAAGGTCCTGTGGTAAAAGAAACAAGTGTTAAAGTCAGCAGTAAATGTACATTTTTCTGGAAGGATACCTAAGAAACAGGCAACACTGCTGCCTCTAGGGAAAGGAGGGAAAAGGAGGTATAGGAGGAAGACTGTAGTATATCCCTTTAAAATCTTTTGGATTTTGAGCCATATGCATCCATCAATCAGCAGAAAAGTACTATTAAATGACAAGTTATAAACTTTCATCTAAGCTTTCTTAATATATTACTATAGAGCAATTTTAATATTTTTCATAATTTTTCCATTCAAATACTAGGTACTCACAGAGTACAGGCCACTGTCCTAACCTTTGAATTGGGTATCTCATACATTCTAATAGCATTATTAAAACATAGTGATCTCACCCTGGCCAGTTTTGCTCAGCGGTTAGAGCATCAGCCTGCAGTCCAGAGAGACCCGGGTTCAGTTCCTGCTAAGGGCATGTACCTTGGTTGCAGTTAGTCCCTTGCCCTGGTTGGGTCATGTGGGGTGGCAGCCACTTGATGTGTCCCTTTCACATCAATGTTTCTCTCTCCCTCTCTCCTTCCCACTCTATCTGATAAAAAAAAAAAAAAAAAAGAAAGAAAGAAAAAGATAAAACATAGTGATCTCAAGCCTGGTGTGGCTCAGTGGTTGGGCTTCAACCCATGCACCAAGAGTTCGCCGGTTCGATTCCCAGGTTATGGGCCAGGTCCCCAGTGGAGGGCATGCAGGGGGTGGCCAATCGATGGCCAATCGATATTTTCTTTCATCAATGTTTCTGTCTCTCTCTCTCTTCCTTCCTCTCTCTCTAAAATTAATAAAGAAAGAAGAAAAAAACATAGTGATCTCAGGCCCAAACTATCATCTCAGTAGATCCCAGTCTGTACTGAGTAGTCACATCAATATATTTGGCCGAAGTCAAAAGTGTTTCATCCCTGCACAACCCTAACTCAGACTGCTTAAACTTCTCTCTCCTGGTCATGTGTGTTACACCTGTGAGCCAAGTCCCACAGAGCTGAGGCACAGTGTTTACCAGGCACTGAGGGGAGGTGTGAGGCCAGCCCTGACCCTGCACTTGGAGAGGCTATGTGTGCTCAACATATCACACGTGCCCTCATTTAAAAGAAGCAATCACAGCCCTGGCCGGGTGGCTCAGTTGGAGTGTCATCCTACACACCAAAAAGATTGCAGGTTTGATTCTTTTTTGGGGTGCATATGGGGCAAAGGGTCGATGTTTCTCTCTCACATAAGTGGTTTTTTCTCTTTTTCTCCCTTCCTCTCTCTCTAAAATCAATAAACATATCCTCAGGTAAAGATAAAAAAATATGTTTTTTTGTTTTTTGGGTTTGTTTTTTTTGTGGTATGTGCCCCTAGTGGGAACCAAACCCGGAACTCTCTGGTCTGCAGGTCGACACTCAACCGCTGAGCGAAACTGGCCAGGGCAGGATAAAAAAATATTTTAAATAAGCAATCACAGCTTTCAGAGCTCAGACTTCTCTGCATTCATGCTGCTATCTGACATAACTATCCTACAAAAGACTCAGTCTTTATCACAGCATTTTCTTAGGAATCACTATCCAATTAGCTGGAAAAGTATGGCTGAGTTTGGGACAACTGTCTTAGCAGTCACTCAAGAGAAAACACTGGATTCACACTCTTGGGAGGAAAAAAAATTTTCCTCAATATAACATATTTCCCAGGGGCATTACTAATCTAAACAATGCTAAATTATAATTTTAGTAATTCAGACTTTTTAAGTGGCTTCTGTTATGACTCTGATGTCCACTGAGATTTTTATCAAGAGGCTTGGTGGTGGTGAGACTACCCCAAGGATGACTATGTTGAAGTTACCCAAAAAGCATAATGGACACTAGTTATATACATTTTCACTGATGCAGCCACTAAACATTATCCTACTTACAATATGATCAAGATTACCATCCTCCATTTGAAAATTGATAGTCTTTTTTTTTAATCCTCAACTGAGGACATTTTTGCATTTATCTTCGGATAGAGTGGGAAGGAGAGAGGGAGGAAGAGACAGAGAGAAACATCTATGTGAGAGAGAGACATCAAGTGGCTGCCACCCACACGACCCCAACCGGAGCCGAAGACAAACCGCAACCAAGGTACGTACCCTTAGCGGGAACCAAACCCGGGACTCTCTGGACCGCGGGCTGACACTTTAACAGCTGAGCCAAACCAGCCAGGGCAAAAGTCTTTTTTTTTTTTTTTAAGTATTCTTTTATTTATTTTAATATGTTTTTGATTTATTTTTTTTTTTCGCAAGAGAGATAGAAACATCAGTGTGAGAAACATCAATTGGTGCCCTGGCCGGTTTGGCTCAGTGGTTAGAGCGTCGGCCTGCAGTCCAGAAAGACCCAGGTTTGGTTCCCACTAAGGGCATGTACCTTGGTTGCAGTTTGTCCCCGGCCCTGGTTGGGTCGTACGAGTGGCAGCCACTTGATGTGTACCTTTCATGTCCATGTTTCTCTCTCCCTCCTACTCTATCTAAACAAAAAATGGAAAAATGTCCTCAAGTGAAGATAAAAAAAAAGAAACATCAATTGGCTACCTCCTGCATACCCCCACACTGGGAATCAAGTCCAAAACCAGGGTATGTGCCCTGACCAGGAATGGAACCGAGACAACATTCTCAGTCCATGGGACAACACTCAATCCACTGGGCCACACCGGCAGGATGACAAAGAGTCTTAAATCAAAAAATCGATGTGCTGAAAAGGAGAAAAGTACTAAGTCATTTTTTCCTACCTGTGACATATTTAAAATTTTCAGGGTGAAATTTTCTAGCCCAGTGATGTTTCTCTCTTCGCAGATGACCTTGGGGGATTTCTGACTATCAGTGTGATTGGAATCCTCAATGGGGGCTGGGTCGGCTTCCATCGCTTCTGGCTCGGTGTAATCCTCCTCTTCTCTGTCCGGGATGTTGGCTCCAGCACTCTCCAGAGAAAAGAGGCTCTCCCGGAGGTCGCACCGTGAGTCTTCGTTCCCTCCAGCCCCACAGGTACCACCACTGGCCTCTAAGCTCAGTTTGTCTTCAGCTTCCCCAGGAATCACAGACAGCATCACCATCTGGTCACCTTCAGTGTCCAGCCCCAGCACTGCATTGGCCTCTCCTGCTGATGTATCTGGACCTCTTGGGCCATGTGAAGGCTCTTCTTCACTCATGTACACAGCCCCGATCTGGGTGGCAGACTGCTCCCTTGACCATATGTGACCACTTCCCTCTGCAACTAAAACATGCCAGTACATTCACAGTCATACCTGACTTCTAAATAAATGAACCCCAAAGAATTAGTTCTCAAATATAAAATTTTCACTTATGGAGAAAAAACCTATCCTTCCCATTAAACTATCAGAGGGCCCCACCATTCTCCAGATCATGAAGAATGTCTCAAGGAGGTACTAGATTAATGAATGTCAAATAAATAAGTGAACAAATACATAGCTTCAAGCAAAACCTGCTGCTTGCCAGTGAATTATAAGCAAAAACATTCTTGTGGACATCCATTGAGAAAATATAATACAGCCCTGGCTGGTTTGGCTCAGCAGTTAGAGCGTTGGCCCGCAGACCAGAGAGTCCCGGGTTTGGTTTCCACTAAGGGTACATACCTCGCTAAGGGCACATACCTCAGTTGCAGTTTGTCCCCAGCCTCAGTTGGGGTTGTGTGGGTGGCAACCACTCGATGTGTCTCTCTTAAATTGATGTTTCTCTCTCTCACTTCCTCCCTATCTCCCTCCCACTCTACCTGAAGACAAATGCAAAAATGTCCTCAGGTGAGGATAAAAAAAGAAAGAAAAAAGAAAATATAATACAAACATTTTAACATTTCACTTGTTTGAAAAGAATATCCAGGAAAATAATGATGGCTTTATGAAAGATTCTACTATAGCAAAGCATCGTTGCACACATAACAGTTCTATGAGATGGGCAGGACAAGGGTTATTACCCACACTTAACAGTTGACCAACGGAGGTACAGAGAGGTTTAGCATAATGCCCAATGGCACACAGCTAGCAAGCAGTGGAGCCAGGTGCAGGAGCAGCAGCAGCAGCAGGAAGAAAAGGAGAACTTTCCTCCCACTTTGGAGACACTAGCTGGGGCTTAGATAAAATGCTCAGATACGGGGAAAGTCCTAGGCAGTTTTGTATGTCCATTTAACAATCTCCACTCACCTCTGTAACAAAGACTCCTGCCCTCCAACTCTTATTACTCAACAACAGCAGCCAGACTCTGTGCCAGACAATGACCAGGGAAAATAAATGAGCCCAGCTGCACTCACACAAGCTCACCATGTAGCTGGGAGGCCATGAGCTGGGTAATGAACTCTGCCAAGACACCAGCATGTCACCAGATTATGAATGACCAACTAGCTACAGAGCTGGGGAGGAGTTTGGGAGCTTCCTAAGGTATGCACATTCATCTAAGGTCTTAAAGATTCATTAAGCAATTCAAAAACACTCTGCTTCAGGCTAAGATGGAGTAATAAGGACCAGATTTACCCTCCCTCCTAAAACAATCCAATCCTGGCCAGTTTTGCTCAGTGGTTAGAGCATCGGCCTATGGAACAAATGGTTGTGGGTTCAATTCCTTGTCAAGGGCATGTACCTCAGTTGCAGGTTTGATCACCGGCCCTGGTTGGGGTCATGAGGGAGGCCAATCGATACGTCTCTCTCACATGATGTTTCTCTCTGTCTCTCTCTCTCCCCATCCCTTACTTCCACTCTCTCTCAAATCGATGGAAAAAATATTCTCAGGTGAGGATTAAAAAAAAAAAAAAAAATGCTAAAGCAACCCAAAGAACAGTCCAATATGTGATAAAACAATTTCAGAAGACTAGTAATCAGGCAACAAAGGACAGTGATCCCTGAGAAACAGGAAGCAAATGAGGAGAGTCCTACAATTGATCTAGCTTACTGCCTGAGGGAGTTCCCACTGTGGGGCAGGGAGGGGTAAGATATTAACTTTTTTTTTATCCTCACTGAGTACATTTTTGCATTTATCTTCAGATAGAGCGGGAGAGAGAGAGGGAGGAAGAGAGAGAGAGAGAAACATTGATGTGAGACACATCGACTGGTTGCTACCCACAGGACCCCAACTGGGGCCAGGGACAAACTGCAACTGAGGTAGGTGCCCTCAGTGGGAACCGAACCCGGGACTCTCGGGCCAACGCTCTAACCACTGAGCAAAACTGGCCAGGGCAGGAGGGGGAAGACAGAAATGACCTACCATTCAAGAGCCACTGAACCCTCCCATGGTAATGCACCTGGTGAAAGAGATGGCTTCTTAACCTAAACAAACTGACTGTAGCTTGATCTATGCATAAAATGAAAATTATTGCATTACTGGCAACAAGGAAGATGTCTGGAAACAAGGGTGGGGACACCGTGCCAACTCTGCCATGGAGCCCTAACCTAGGTCAGCTCCTTCACACTGTTCGTTTTTCTCACAAGGCTCTCTACCAGCAGCAGGTTTCTTCACAGTGGCTTCTGTGGCAGGGGAGCCAAATATGGGAGGGTTGAAAACAGCCACGGGTTGGAGGGGCAGCAACCCTTACTTTCCACAGGAAATACTGTGTGCACATCTAACAAATGAAGAAAATACAACTGAAATGCAGAAATTAACAAGGCTACTGTGCAGATTAAATGAGGAAAGATGTGTATGGTGCCTGGCACATAGTAGGACTCCACAAATGTCTGTAGTGATAATAGTGATGATGATGATGATGATATGACTGATATTTATAATTCAAAGAGATGGTTGAGCCCTGGCCGGTTTGGCTCAGCGGTTGTAGCATTGGCCTGCGGACCAGAGAGTCCTGGGTTTAGTTCCCGCTAGGGGCATATACCAAAAATACAAAAAAAAACCAAAGAGATGGTCGGGCACCATAACTAAGTTATTAATTCCTCTGCTAAATACATTCTAGATCAATCCACCTCTCCCATCGCCACTCATTCCCCCTAGCCTAGGCCACAGCCATCTCTCACTTGGATAACTGCTGTAACCACCTAACTGGTCTCCGTGGTTGGCCCTCTATTCCCCCCCACCTCCTGCTTCTCACAGCAACCCAACTGGAAGTGAAAGATAACGATTAATCTAATCATGTCACTCCCTTGCTAAAACCTGTTCAATGACCTCCCCCTGCCCTGTGAATGAGTCTGCATTATGCATCATGGATAGCAGACCCCTCATGATGTGGCCTTTATCTACACTCTCTCAACTGGTAGCACCAGGCATTTCCGGTCCCTTATTCATGCTCTCCTCCACTCTCCTCAGATCTGTCCTGAAGGCTGTTTCTCTGCCAAGAAAGCCCTCTACCCCCTCTTCTTCTCGCTAATCCAACTCACCCTAAACTTCACCTGTGTGTAAGCTGTACTTCAACTTCTCGGACCCTCAGACCAGAGGGGCCTCCCATTACAACATCCAGTAATGAACTCACCTTGAAGCATTTTCCACTCTTGTAATTTACTTAATTATTTGTAGTCATTAAAATGCCTTCCTTCCCCATCAGACAGGAGGCCAGGCCCGTTTCTCTATCTGGCTCAGTGCCCAACACAGTGTATGGCATATGATGGACACTCAGTAAGAATCCGCTAGCTGACAGTCTACTGAGGACGGAAATGGGTGTGTTGAAGCCGGGAGTTCGTTTCTTGACACCTGGACAACACTGCCACCTCCAGTTACTAATCTGCCAGTAGTGTCCTCTGCAGGAAAAAAGACTTGGAATTGTTTGGGGGAGGGAGGGCTGGGTGAAAAGGGTGAAGAGATTGGGGACTACAAATTGGTAGTCACAAAATGGCCCCGGGGACATAGAGTACAGCATAGGAATATAGTCATACTATTTTAATAACTATGTACAGTGCCAGGTGAGTATTTGAAATATCAGGGGGAACACTTTGTAAAGTATATGATTATCTAACCACTATGCTGTACACTTGAAACTAATACAAAATAACTGAATTGAAAATAACTGTAGCCCTGGCCGGTTTGGCTCAGCGGTTAGAGCGTCCGCCTGCGGTCCGGAGAGACCCGGGTTCGGTTCCCGCTAAGGGCATGTACCTCGGTTGCAGTTTGTCCCCGGCCCTGGTTGGTCGTGCGGGTGGCAGCCACTCGATGTGTCCCTTTCACATCGATGTTTCCCTCTCTCTCTCTTCCTCTCTCTCCCTCCCACACTGTCTGTGCAAAAAAATAATAATAATAACTGTAATTGAAAAATAAAAAAAATTTTTTAAAGCCTGAGATTTTCAGCCACCCAGGAAAGAAACCAGCTGGTCAAGATTCCTAGGTCCTCACCCCATCCATGGCCTGGTCATGATGACCAATGACCCACCCCATGGCTGGTGTTATGCTCAGGTCTACATGAATATGACCCTAATTGCCAGATAGAATCACTGAATGCAACTATAAGTCAGTCCCCTGAATCAGCCAAGAAACATAAAGCACATTCAACTTGGGCAATTCAAGGAGAGCTTAATAAAGGGATCCTCAATATGTGGGCTGGATGTAGAGAAAACAAAAACTCCAGAACCAGTAACAGCAGTTACCACTGATAGGTCTTAAGAGGCCAGTCACACAACCCTGAAACTGCAAAGACAGACTTCAGGAAGCTATGACTTCCAGTGGAGGGACGCAGCCAACCTATGATAACTCCTGAGGGAGGGAGCTAAAGGAATCAATACCCTGACCTCTCTCTCCCCTCATTCCAACCCAAAGGAAGCCAGAAGGCAGGAGAAACCAGTTATCCATCCAGGGCAGCTGCTTGGGGAACAGAGCAGGATGGAGAACATAGTCTGGGAGACAAACATAAGATATCCAGCACATGCTGTCCCGGCTCTGAGGCTGGGGGTTAAGCGTAGTCTATGACAGAGGGTTGTACAGAGATTTGACTGTCAAATCAAGGCAGACACGGGCTTGAATCACGGCTCCTCAACTCTGACAGTTTGATGTTGGCAGTCTTACTGATGCTGAGTCTCAGCTTAGTCATCTATAAGTCAGTGACGATAACAACATCTACTTCATAAGCATTTAAAGATTAAATAAGATGATTCTCATAAAGCCCTAAGCACAGCACCTGGTACACAGTGCTTTCATTAATGGTAATTCTGTAACTATTCCTCGGCCTTCTCCCTGCTGCCCTGCCTTGACCAGGACACTCAGGGAAAAGAAAGACCTGCTATTCCTGCTCGGAATGACAAGCAAGGCCAAAGGGTGTGGACTTGCATAGGATGTAAGGAGTGGGATGAAAGAGCAAGGGGAGAAAGGCGTCCACTCCTGGACCCAGCCACGCCTGGCCTCCAGAGCGGGCCCTGAGAGCATGCCCTGGCAAGCAGCAGGTCACCCTGCGGGGGTCTCCTGTGTTGTCGTCTGTCCTTCATACGGGCCCCTGAGCAGGAGTGGCCTTCTCAAGACAGTGGTCGAGCAGGGTGCAAGGTCAAGTGTGGGCTTCGCAAGTCAGACAGGCTCTGCCATTTTCCAGAAGTGCCAACTGGGCAGGTAACTGGCTCTCTGGGCGCAGCCTCTGCAGCTGTGAAATGGAGGCAGCCTGAAACCTGGCTCTGAGGGCCGGTGGGAGGCCTACGTAAGATAAGGAGGGAAAGCGCCGCGCACAATTCCGCGCTCCTAACAAGGGCAGCACCAACGCCGGCCTTCGTCATCACTGTTATCGTTAATGAACAAAGTGCTCCCCACAATAACGAAGTGCTAACACACGGTCACTCCCGACCGACAGTCGCCTGCTGAGAGGACCTGGACGTGGCCCGGTCACTCCTCCCCGCCCCGCCGTTCCGGCCTCCGCGGACCCGGAGCCGGGACCACCGGAGGGTCAGGTCGGGACAAGGCGGGGAGAAGGGCCGGCGAGAGGCGAGGAGCGGCGCGCGTTGTGGGCCTTCGCGCAGGGAAGGTCGTCGCCGCGGCCGGCACTTGCCCAGTCACTTCGCGCCCCGCCGCCTACCTCCCCCACGCCCCGCACGGCCCCTGCGCACTCACCCTCCTGGCCTCGGGCGGGAGGCCCCAGCACCCACAGCAGTACCTGCCACCAGCCGAGGAGCCACATGGCGCGGGGCGGCCGGGACTACCACCCGGACCGAAGGGCAAACGGCGCACGGCGACGCGAGTCGCATCCCCAGCCGGAGGAGGGCCGGGGCTGAGCAGCCCGGGACTGAGCAGCCCGGGAGCGCGGGCGGGGCCCTGCCGCCATCTTGGAAGCTGGCAGCCGCCGCGGGCGCCATCTTGTTGTCGGGCGGCCTGCCTCTGGCTTGTGGCCGGCGCACGGCTCTCAGGACTGTTTAAGAGCCAAGCACCAGACGTTTCAGGTCCTCTTGAACTTTCCCGACCGCCAAATCCTGGGCGGGATTCCAGCGGAGACCCGTGGCCCTCTGTCTTCACGGGCCTGGTGGGGCCTGGCTGCTGGCAGCACACACTACACCCCCAGGTGCTTTATTCTCCCCCGGAAAGGCCTGGAGGCTCCTTCTTCCTGGGCCCCACGGAGGTGCAAGTCTTGGAAGCTCCTGCCCTACCCCTGCTGCCCTACCTGGGGTTGCGGGATAACATACAGGATGCCCAGTTAGGTTTGAATTGTACAGAAATAATGAACAGTTTTTTACTGTAAAAGACATACCGAAGTTCAAATGTCACTGAGTGCCCCCATATTTTATTTGGTACATCTGACAGTCCTAACCCTACCTAATTTTGTCGAGGTAAGAAACATCCAAACCTGTAATTTTTTTTAGTGTATTTGAGCCAAATTGACAACAATTTCTGGGAAGCAAAAGCTCAACAGATTAAGAAAATGCTCTGGAGAATGGCAGTTTGCAGCTTATTTTTATATATTAAAATAAAAGGAGGAGAGGTAAGGCGGGTTACCTAAAATTCATTGGTGGTAGATTGGGGAGGTGGGAGAAAGCAAAACCAGGAAATCTCTGAGATTTGATAACGAGTAAAACCGGTGCAGGGTGGTGTGGCTCACTGGATTGAGCAAGGTCAAGGGTTTGATTCCTGGTCAGGGCACATGCCTGGGTTGCTGGCTCACCCCCAGTAGGGGGCCTGCAGGAGGCAGCCAATGGCTCTCGCCCTCGCTCTCTCGCTCTTTCTCCCCCTCCCCTTCTCTCTAAAAAAATCAATGAAAACTTTTTTTTTAAAAGAGTAAAACGAAGAGACACATACTTAGAGATGGTACCTGGAAAACAAGATAACAAAAGGGGATTCTGTGGTCTCCCGGTGCTGTGGGTGTGCCTGAGGGGTCTTTTTCACTTAAGGTAAAGACTGACCTTTGTCAAAGAAGCTACAGGCTTAGAATGTGACTACCTGCCATGAGCTCCTTTTAGTTAGGAATTTTTATGTTCACACCATCCTATGTGGTTCCTTTGGTCTGAGTTTGTAGGGCCCACCACGCTCGCCTGGCCTGAGCTTGTCAGATTTAGTATGTGGCCCCTTTTTCATCTACAGTTTTAATGAATCTTCAGGGCAATTTCTCTCCCTTCCTCTCTCTCTAAAAAAAAAAAAAAAAATCAATAAATGGCCCTGGCCGGTTTGGCTCAGCGGTTAGAGCCGTCAGCCTGTGGTCCAGAGAGACCCAGGTTCGGTTCCCACTAAGGGCACATACCTTGGTTGCAGTTTGTCCCCAGCCTTGGTTGGGTCGTGTGGGTGGCAACCACTCGATGTGTCGCTTTCACATCGATGTTTCTCTCTCTCTCTCTTCCTCCTACTCTATCTGAATAAAATATCGAAAAATGTCCTCGGGTGAGGATAAAAAAAAAAAATCAATAAATGTCGGAACCAGAATTTGCCACATGGCCAGAAAGCCCAGGTTCCTCTTAACGTTGCTACATTTACCAATGTTTTGAAGTAAAGATCTTTTTTTATATATGCTTTTATTAATTTTTTAGAGAGAGAGGAAAGGAAGAAGATCGAAACATCAATGTAAGAAAGAAACACCCATTGGCTGCCTCCTGCATGGACCCCACCAGGGATCAAGCCTGTGCCCTTACCAGGACTGGCTAGTTATAACAGTATAACTAACTTTTCTCAAAGTTGTTTCTTTTCTTTTTTTTTTTTTTAATCCTCACCAGAGGATATTTTTCCATTTATCTTCAGATAGAGTGGGAGAGGGAGAGGGAGAGAGAAACATCAAAGTGAGAGAGACCCATCGTTTAGCTGCCTCCTGCAGGACCCTGACTAGGTCCGGGAATGAACTGCAACCGAGGTACATGCCCTTGACTGGAATCAAATGTGTGACTCTTTGGTCCGAGCCAAACCGGCAAGGGCAAAACTCAATTTCTTCATCTGTAAAATGGGGATGAAATTATAGTTATGTGGATTAAATGAGATTTAAAGTGATTAGCACAGTTCCTGATGCACAGTAAGCACTTCAAAGTGGTAGCTGTTACTATTTGGATGGTATGATTCTAATGGAGTAACCATAGTACCCTTGTGCCCATCATAGATGTTAGACCAGATGTATCATCAATCTGACCCCATGGATGATTTTTCTATTCTAAATGATATGCTGTGGTTTTGCGATAAAAAATTCTCAAGCAGGTCCAGGAGTATCTGAGACAATGGACAACGTGGGCAAAAGAGTAGAGTTGATCAATACAGTCATCATTTGGCTAACTACCTCTTTCCCCCTCAATAGTATACAGGTAATCAACTTTTCCTCCTTTAACTTATGCTGTCCCTGTACCCTCCTCTATACCCAATTTGAAGGTGCATGAAAAGCCAATAGGACAGAGGATTAAGGGGATTTAGGATTAATGTAAAGGAGGCTGATTTGACTCAAATGGACACTCCAACTTGGATGCCCTATAGTTACTACTCCTTCCTTTTTCTTTTTTAATCCTCACCTAAGGATATTTTTCTATTTATCTTTAGATTTGGGGGGGGGGTGAAAAAAGGGGAGAGATACATCAACATGAGAGAGACACATGGACTGGCTGCCTCCCAAACGACCCTGACCTGGGCGGGGGACAAACCGCAACCAAGATTATGTACCCTTGACCGGAATTGACCCTGTGACTCTGGTCCGAAAGCTGATGTTCTAACTGCTGAGCCAAACTGACTAGGCCACCACTCCTTCCTTTTTATTGTCCTTTCCCTCCTTGTGTTTGTGCTTTGGCTGTTTGTTTGGATAGATACACTTAACAGATGTTGGAATTGTTGAATGACTACTCAATAAATGCAGTCAACAGGATAGAATGCACATTTGACTGTCTCACCACCAGGTGGCACATGCACTTATTTTTGGTGAAAAAATTGCCTTCAAACTTGTCTTGAAACTGTCTTTTTTTTTTTTTTTTTTTTCTTTATTGATTTTTTTTAGAGAGAGGAAAGTGGAGGGAGAGAGAACCCTGCATGCCCCCCACTGGGGATTTGGCCCACAACCTGGGCATGTGTCCTGACTGGGAATTGAACCAGCAACCTCTTGGTGCATGGGTCGATGCTCAACCACTGAGCCACACTGGCCAGCTCCAGTGATTTTTTTTTTTTTTAGAGAGAGTGTAACGGAAGGGAAGAGAAGAGGAAGAAAGAGAGAGAGAGAGAGAGAGAGAAAAACATCAATGTGAGAGAGAGACACACCGATTGATTGCCTCCTGTAGGACCCCAACTAGACCAGAGATCAAACCTGCAACCCAGGTACATGCCCTCATCTAACCACTCTAACCACTGAGTCAAACCGGCCGGGGCCCATTCTTAACATTTTAATGTTTTATTTTGAGAAACTTAAGTTGACCCAATGTACTCATTATTTCATCAGTACTGGGTATATTTCCTAGTTATAACAAAAGATAATACTGAGTTTCTTCAATAATTCAGTATCCTCCCAAGATATTTAAGAGAGTTGTGTTCTGAAAAACAGGGTAGATCAGAGCAATATATAGTAGTTAAGAAAACTGCTAACTGCCTGGAATTAATACAAACATATTGAATATAAACATCCTACTGTGTGTCCGTGGGCGATGCATATATGCATGTAAGTAATTGAAAAGTTTTTGGTTTTTTGTTTTTTTTTTTTGTTTTTTTTTTGGTACGTGCCCCTAGCAGGAACCGAACCCAGGAGTCTCTGGTCTGCAGGCCGACGCTCCAACTGCTGATCCAAACCAGCCAGGGCTAAAAAAAGAAATAGTAACTATAATTTTAAAAAAGAAAACTGCTACCTGGTATAATCACAAGTATAAACCTCAACTGTAAGAGAAGGAAACCTCTACATTTCTAATGTGGATATTAAGCCCTTGGCATTTATGCTTTCACTCATGGTTTTCTCCCAAAGATGTCATTCCTATTTAACTTATCAGGAAGCTGAAGCAGAGAAAATGGCTCATTGTCACATAGGAGTTTCTGACAGAGCTAAGGCTAGAATACCAATCAGGATCCAAGAATTTTGTTTGGTTTTGTTTGTTTCTTATTTATTGGTAAGAGAGGAAAGGAGAGAGAGAAATACTGATTTGTTGTTTCAATTTTTTATGCATTCATTGGTTGATGAATTTATTGGGGTGACACTGGTTAATAAAATTACACAGGTTTCAGGTATACAGTTCTACAATATATCCTCTGTGGACTGTATTGTATGTTTACCACCCCAAGTCAAGTCTCCTTCCATCACCATTTATCCCCCCTTTACCTTCATATACCTCTCCCCAACCCACCCTCACATTCTTTTATTTTTCTATCCTCACCGAGGATATTTATTTATTTATTTATTGCATTTATCTTCAGATAGAGCAGGAGGGAGAGGGGGAGGAAGAGAGAAAAACATCAATGTGAGAGAGACACATGGATTGGTTGTCACCCACATGACCAACTGGAGCCGGGATCAAACAGCAACCAACGTACATGCCCTTAGCAGGAACTGAACCCAGGACTCTCTGGTCTGTAGGCCAACGCTCTAACCACTGAGCCAAACCGGCCAGGGCAATTCTTTTTTTATTAATATCTTTATTTTTGAGAGTATTACAGATGTCCTCCCTTATTTCCCATTGTCCTCCAACCTGGTTCCTGCCTCAGCCTAATCCTTCACCATCCTATTGTGTGTCCATTGGCAATGCATATATGCATATAAGTTCTTTGGTTAATCTCTGACCAGAGCATATCAGGACAACACTCTAACAACTGAGCTGCCCAGCC